CCAGCCTTGTGGATGGGATATTGTTTTCAATTCATCTGCCACTTACATTACTCAGCTGGGATGCATTGTCTCTTTTATCAATCCCTCTTTTCCTCATTTTTTTCTCCATCAGGGTTTTATTATCCAGGAAATGTTCAGTGGAAATATGTATTGTTCTTGGTATGAGCTCATTTAGTCTCCATCCATAACTGTAATGAAAGCTACTTGGTCTTTCTTTCATAATCTGATCAATTTGTTATTTCTGCATTACGTATTTTTATGAAGTTTTCATCGATTTATAATCGTCTTGGAATGAATACCTTGGATGTAGAAATGTTGTTATTATAGTGAAGTCAAACTTTGTCTTTGAATAATAAATGCTATTATATTTAGCTAAACTTTTTTTTTTTAATGGTGCAGGATGATATTAAGAAGCCAACCAACTCTGCAGCTCCCTCCAGCTCTTTGTCATTTAAAAAAAAACGTTTGGTTTAGGCGTCGCAACTTCACTACTTAGTTTTACTGTTATCATCAAGGTTAACAGCTTTTTGTGGACAAAAACATAACATAATTTAAAGTGTTTTCTGCTAATTATAGCTGTTCAATAACTTAATACAAATGAAATATCAACAAGGAAATCTCTAAATATTTTGAGATGTCTTCTCTTTCATGTAATGCCTCCAGTTGTAGGATCTTTACATGCATGCAGATGATGCATTCAAGCACATAATACTGGCTATTGTATGAATATTCTTGCACTTTCTGTACCCAGATTAAGAGCCAGATCAACTAAATCACTCATTTAGTTTCTTGATAATAAAGATGTTGGTATCTTAAGTTGAATTTGCTGAGATTTATTTATGGGGCATTTGATATGCAGTAGGATTTGAGAGAATTTGAGGTTTCCATCGTTTTTTGTGAGTGTTGTGACCAGGCTTGGAATTTCGTCATTTTAGGGGCAAGGCCATTTGGCCTTTTGTGTTACACATTTCTTCAGGGCACAAAGGCCACATGCCAGGGCACAAAGGCCATTGAGGGAAACATTTGGATTTGAAGCTTACAAATAAATAACTTCACTTTCTGATAAGAAAAACACACGAATGACATGGAAAACTAATCACTTTTTTAATATCAATAATGTCAAATCATATTATTTATTATAATCATATAGGCCTATGCCTCCTTAGTATTACCGTATATAAAATGAAATACTCTACTTTTAATAATTAGTGTTTGGTATGTTTTCTATCTACTACTTCCCCCATTCACAAATCCGAAATCAAATCAAAAAATCAAAAATTCTATTAATATGTAACAAATATATTCCATTTCAGAGCAGAAGAAACAGCCTTCAAGGGTCCAACTCTGCACATACATCATTCAGCAGTGCACAGTTAAGCTCCATCATTCAACTGTATGAACAATGCAAAAGTCTGTGTGTGTGTGTGTGTGTGTGTGTGTGTGTGTGTGTGTGTGTGTGTGTGTGTGTGTGTGTGTGTGTGTGTGTGTGTGTGTGTGTGTGTGTGTGTGTGTGTGTGTGTGTGTGTGTGTGTGTGTACGAGAGTCTCTTTAATAAATGTTTTCAACTCGAGCGTCAAATTCGCGGAACGCGTTCTCGCGGTAGCCAATCAGCAGTGAGGATCTCAGCCACTGACGTTGAATCAGAAAACCAAAACATCAGCCGTTAGCTGTTAGCACACAGAGCTCACAGCTCCTCGTATCTGTTCAGAAACTGGACAAAAGTTAAACAAGAACAAAACACAGACTGTCGCTGCTTTATTTCTGTCTTTAGGACGTTGTTGTGAGTTTGGATGGAGCAGCTACAGGTTAGTTTAGCCTGATCAATCCGAGGCCTGTACTACGAAGTCGGATTTTCGCTTAGCGAGCTAACTTCAGGGAAAACTCTGGGTTTCCGGTCCTACGACGCTGGTTCACTTCTTAGCGGGGTAGATCTCCATGGTAACTTATGCTGAACGGCTAGCCTGGCCCGGAGCAGGTTTGGTTCCAGGATAAGAGATCAACTCAGTGAAAGCACTGCCTGCTGACCAATCAGAGCTCAGTGTGCGGAGTTTAAAGCTATCAAGTCATATTACAGGAGAAAGGAAATACAGTTTAAACTGCCGTTGCAGGCAAAAATCACCGATTGTGTGAACGTGGCTGCGAGGGAGTGCGGTCGTCTTTCAACCAGAAGGTTGTGGGTTCGATCCCAGCCCGTACAGCCAACATGTCGATGTATCCTTGGGCAAGATACTTAACCCTGAGTTGCTCCCGATGGCATGGCCAACGGGGTGCGAGTGTGTATGAATGTTAGTTCCTAGAGTAAGGTACACTGCTCTGTATGAATGGATGTGAATGGGTGAATGACATGTAGTATGTAAAGCACTTTGAGGGGTCGTAAAGACTGGATAAAGCGCTATATAAGTACAGTCCATTTACCATTTACTATTTACGTGAAAATGAATAGAATATCACCTCCCATCTTCAGAGCAATCTGACTAATATAACATTAGCGTTAAGAAAGCTTACTTAAATATCTGCCACGCTGCCACAACATAAGTAACCGGATCAAAGTAACATACGTAGGCTACAGTCCGCGGCACTGTGAGTGCAGACGTCGATGTGTTCCATTATCATTCATATCACATCATAATGTATCATATATTTGTCTTAGATGGGGCAGTGATATCATAAACCTGTTAATGTACGCATTCAAACACTTTTTCTTTTACCAGCTGTATTCACCTTGCAGGTGCAACTATTGGCACATTTCCACTACAGCGCGGAGCTCGCTTTAAGCGTGCCGAGCCGTGCGGGGCCCGTTTTTGGTTGCGTTTCCACTTAGCGTAGTACCGGCTAGCGGGTACTATTTCACAGTTTTCTGGCCCCATAAAATCGAGGTTCTTTCCGGGCCAACAACCAGGCTGAGTATGCTAAACTAGAGAGAGAATCGCTGGCAAGGGGGCTACAACTACAACAAGATGAACATATTTGACCGTGATTTAATTGTAATACACGTTTCAAAATGATGCCGAAGTAACAACATACTGATACCGGTTAGTAAAAATCATGAATTAATGCTTTGACAAGTCTGCAGACAGACGGCAGGCGAAAAACCTTTTAAAATGCGTGTTGTCTAAATGGAGATCGGCTAAGCTAACGCAATATATGCTCCGACCGTCCACACTCACAACAACGGCCTATACAGACAGAAATAAACCAGTGACTGTATTCGCCATGACACAGACAGTCTGTGGTTTGTACTTGTTTAACTTTTGTCTAGTTTCTGAACAGATATGAGGAGCTGTGAGCTTGAGTGCTAACAGCTAACGGCTGTGTTGTTTTTCTGGGGTTCTCATTGAAGATGACGTCACGGCTCCGCCTACACTGCGTTACTATAGATACTACCCCAGTTCCTAAACTGTAATGGAAATGCGCCATAAAGTGAGCCAGTCCTAACGAGACCTAGCCATACCAAGCGAGGCCGAGCGAGGCCGTGTAGTGGAAATGCGCCAATATGGCGCATTTCCACTACACTGCAACACATTAAGTTGACGAAACACTTGAGTCAAATGTAATTAAAGTCAGATCCACTCGTGTCTTACCCCTAGATTCCACCGGGTCCGTCTGCGCCGCGGCGCTCACGGCGATCACGGCGATCGCGGCCACTCTAGTCAATGGGTGCTATTCCACCACACGTGGCGCGTTACGGCTCAGAAGCGTCCCAGAAGCGTCTCGGCGCAGGGCTCCTCTAAAATGAGGATGAATCCTATTTTTTACGCGACGCAGTCGTAACGTAATGTCGGGCAGGCAGGAAGTGGAACGTTCAGAGCATATATAGCACAGTGGCGAGCCGTGAGCTTTATACCTAGGCCCTCTGACCCCCACCAATTCCCTCGAAAAAAAGAAAAAAAAATAGTTATTACGTCACAGCGTATACTTCAGCGGAATATCAAAACAACGGCCCAGGGTGCAAAACACATCAATGACAGCGACCCTCTACCACACAAAACAACACCTGTGAACCCAATTTGTGTTCTTTGACATTGAAAATGATATTGCATTGTGTTTGTTACTTTCGTTGCACTTGTATGTCTTAAGTGTAATTTGGCATGCTTTTATTTTGAAGGCGAGTTCACGCTGTTGACAGGAAGTTGTTGTTGCTATGGAAACAAGAAAAGTTTCACAGCGGGCGGAACTTGTCATAAAGTCCGCGATAATAAAACCCACCCATTTAGAGGAAAGATATGATTGGTCAATTGTACTGTCATTTGACATTACTCTCTCGTTCAGTTACTATAGCGGGCCCTCTGTGAATCGCAGAGAGGGCCAGACGAGCTTCTTTCATGTAACCCTTCACATTCAACAGAGACTGAACAGGCAGATTCAAAGGATTTATTTCTTTGGAAATGTTATTTTAAATACAATTAAATCAAGTTTTTTTTCGGTAAAACTAATGAAAAATATAACAAATTTAAAAAAAATATATATTATTTTTTAGAATATTGTAACGTTCGACAAAGGGAGTCGGAAATAGGCTTCAAGTTCTTGGTGTTTAATAGCTCCTTTGTTCGCACACGGTCACAGGTTACATGTTACAGGTTGCAGGTTCATCAACACTCTGAGCTCTACTCCCTCACTCCCAGACACAAAACAGGGTCAACGTCACGACACCCCAGCCCTCCCCCCTCTGCTCCCCCAACCACAGGCCCGCACACCGACCAGCATTACTGTGCAGCTCCGTGATTGGCCGAGAGACGGGGGACGCTTGAGTGACACACCCAGCACCCTATGCAGGGTCGCTACACTACCCCCCCTACTACAAAGTTCCTCGCCCACGAGGGACACATAAAAAACTAGAACAAAAACCTGCAACTAAACACTAACCCACAGCAGCGAGAACGTGTAACACATTTTTCTTTAGTTGAACTAGGAAGGTCTGGGTGGACTACCATCCCTTCCAGTGAGACCAGGGTGCATTCTTGCCCTCTACAGGAACCGAGGGGTCTCACTATAAACTTTAACTACCACACAAAGTCTCTGAACCGACTTGGGGGTCGTGTCTGCCTTCTCGGCAGGGGGGCTGGGGTCAGGGGGACAGGGGGTGCCGGTTCTGGTCCAGGCAGGGGAAAGGGGAAGAAAGTGGGGGGGAACTCAGTCACTGACGGGGGGCTGCTGCTCTGCTCGCCGGGGGACCTGGGTGGGGGTGTCGAGGGGGAGGCCGTGGGCCCCGGTGTCCCTTGGGCATGTGGAGAAGCGACTCCTCTGTAAGGGGCCAACCTGTCTCTGTGGAGCACAACTTTTCTCCCCTTGGGAGGCAGCTGCACTCTGTAGACGACTTCCCCCACCCTCTCCAGTACTCTGCAGGGACCAACCCACTGGCTGTCCAGTTTTGGGCACCGGCCTTTTTTCCGTTGTGGGCTGTAGACCCAGACCAGCACCCCGGCCTGGAAGTGCTGCCCTCTTGTCCTGGTGTCATAGTTCCGCTTCTGTCTCACCCCAGCACTTTTCTGCTGATCGCGGGCAAAAGCGTGAGCGGAATCCAGGCGGTCTTGAAGTCTCCTGGCGTACTCAGGCCCTGGAGGAGTGTCCAGGGAATCTGGCGGTTGACCAAACGCCAAAACAGCAGGGGTGCGAAGCTCTCTCCCTAACATGAGGAGAGCAGGAGAACAGGCTGAGGACTCCTGGACTGCAGAGCGACATGCCATGAGCACAAGGGGCAGATGTTCGTCCCAGTCACGCTGGTGCTGAGACGTGAGGATGGCCAGCTGCTGGCCCATGGTGCGATGGAATCTCTCGACTAGTCCGTCGCTCTGAGGCCGCAAGGGGGAGGTGCGTGTTTTTCGCATGCCCAGTTGTGTGCACATGGAGGCGAACACCCGGGACTCGAAGTTCCTCCCCTGGTCACTGTGCAGGGACTCCGGCACTCCAAACCGGCTGAACATGCCGGCCACCAAAGCATCTGCGACTGTCACTGCTTCCTGATCAGGGAGGGCATACGCCTCTGGCCATTTTGTGAAATAGTCTATGGCAGTGAGGACGTAGCGGTTACCCCTGCTTGACAGAGGCAGAGGCCCCACCACATCAACCGCTACTCTCTCCATTGGGGCCCCCACGGGAAACTGTTGCAGTGGAGCATGGGAACGACCAGGGGGACCCTTACGAGCCATACAAGGGTCACAGCGGCGACAAAAGTCTTCGACATCCCTCCGGCACCGCCCCCAGTAGCAGCCCTGGCGAAGGCGGCGGAGAGTCTTAGTGACGCCAAAGTGCCCGGAGCCTGCCGTTCCATGCATGGCCTTGAGTACCGCCTCTTGCAGACCCTTCGGGACCACCACCTGCCATCTCTTCTCTCCCGTAGCTGGCTCCTTCCACGCACGCTGCAGTACGCCCTGACACAGGCGCAGAGCCTCAAACTGAGACCACAGCCCCTTGGTTGATTTGGAGAACACTGCCACTTCCTCCCACGGTGGCCGCTGCTGCGCCTCGACCCACTGCAGTACAGGCTGTATGTCTGTGTCCAGCTCTTGCTGTTGCTTCCACTCTGCCACATCCACTGTCTGGAGCTCCCGGCAAACGACCTCTTCAACTTGACGAGCTGCAGCACAGACGGTGTCCTCCTCCAGCAGCTCCTTGTCACGGGTCTCTCTCTTCTCACAGTAGTGGCATCCGCCGGCGGCACACGGGCGGCGGGAGAGAGCGTCTGCGTTTGTGTGACGCACTCCAGCCCGGTGCTCCACCCTGAAGTCGAAAGCTTGGAGCTCTTCTAACCACCTGGCGACCTGCCCTTCTGGCTCCTTGAATGTCATGAGCCACTGTAATGCAGAGTGATCAGTCCTCACCGTGAACGCCTGGCCACACAGGTAGTATTTAAAGTGCCTGATGGACAGCACCACTGCCAAGAGTTCCCTGCGAGTCACGCAGTACCGTCGCTCGGCTTTGTTGAACGCCCGGCTGAAGTATGCCACCACCCGCTCCCCCTCTGGTGTAGTCTGTGAGAGCACTCCGCCTACGCCCACTCCGCTAGCGTCTGTGTCCAGGGTGAAAGGCAGACTGGGGTTGGCCGGGGCGAGAACCGGGGCTTCACTCAAGGCACGCCGAAGGCTGTCAAACGCTGCTTGACATTGCTCAGACCAGAGGAAATCACTGTCTTTCTGTAGCAGCTGGAACAGGGGTGCAGCAGTGCAAGCAAAACCCCGTACAAACTTCCTATAGTACGAGGCCAGGCCCAGGAAACTCTTCAGCTCCTTCTGGTTGCGAGGATTTGGCCAGTCCGCGACCGCCTGCACTTTCTCTTGTAGGGTGCCGATGCCTTCGCCCCCCACTTTGTGGCCCAGGAAAGTGACCTCTCTCTGCATGAAATGGCACTTCTCTGGGTGTAGCTTCAGGCCAGCGGCTCTGATCCTTTCCAGCACCACTCTTAGAGATCCCAGGGCCGCCTCAAACGAGCCGCCATGCACCAGGATGTCGTCCAGGTATACCAAGCACTGCTGACGGGGAATACCAGACAGCACCCTGTCCATCAACCGCACAAAGGTGGCAGGGGCATTACAAAGCCCAAAACTGAGGACCTTGAACTGCCATAGTCCCCGGCCGGTGCAGAAAGCAGTTTTTGGCCTGGCCTCTGGGGCCAGAGGGACTTGGTAATACCCACTGCGGAGGTCCAAGGAGGAGAACCACGACGACCCGGAGACCAGGTCCAGGGACTCATCGATGCGGGGAAGTGGGTATGAATCCTTCTTAGTGACCCCGTTCACCGGCCTGTAGTCTGAGCACAGCCGCCAGCCACCTATCTTCTTTGGGACCATGACTACAGGTGCTGCCCACGGGCTGTCGGAGGGCTCGATGATGTCTGCCTGCAGCATGCTCTGCACTGCCTCGTCACAAGCCTGCTGACGAGCCAGGGGAAGTCGGCGAGGGCGACACTTGATGGGGCGCGAGTCCCCTGTGTCAATCTCGTGTTCTACCAGATGAGTTCGGCCCACCTCCCCCTCACTCATGGCGAAACTGCCCTGGAACTCTAGCAGCAGCTGCCACAATTGCTCTTGCTGCTCGGGATTAAGGCCGCCACAGTTCTTCCTCCACACCTCCCATACTGCCGGCTGAGCCTCTTCCACCCCAGTCTGGGGTAACTGGGGAGGGGCTGTGGTCGGGTGGCACAGGCCGGGGGCGACAGGTGTGGAGTTGCCCTGAGTGGGCGTCACCGGGGATAAAGGCAAAGAGGGAGGATTATTTTCCGTTTCCAGGGTACTCACGGGGTGTGTCCCAGCCGGTTCAGCAGGGGTGTGGATACGGGTCATAGTGATCACAGGCCCCCCGTGGAAACTCACTGTGCCTGCCTGAAGGTCCAGGTGGCAACCAGACGCCCTCAAAAAGTCCAAGCCCAGAATACACGGATCCTGTACATCTGCTATCCACACCGGATGCTGCACTTCAACTCCCCCCACCGACACAGTCAGCATGCCTTTTCCTTTCATAGGTGCCAGCTCTCCCGTGACTGTGCGTAGACGCACCGCTGTCGGTTCTAATTGAGTCCCACTGGGCAACACATCTGATCTCACCAGGGTCACTGTCGAGCCTGTGTCCACCAGCGCAGTGCAGGGCACCCCTTCCACAGTGACAGGGACATAACAGGAATCCCCACCACCAGCACGGCCCACCGCGACGACAGGCTCCAAGCCTGTGCTGTCATCTTCTTCAGGAAGGAGTAGAGCCTGGCTCCCCCGGCTGTGCTGTCGGGCTCCTTCCTCGGCTGTCTGTGTTGGTGGCAATACGGCTGTGGTTTGGTTGGTGGGTTTTTGGGCCTGGATCCGCATCTTCCCCTTTATGCGGGCCCCCCGTCGTTTCCCTGGGACCGGCGTGCCTTGGGGCAGTCTCTGGCCAAATGTCCTGGCTGACCACACTCCCAGCAGACCCTGCTACTTGGCCTGCGTGTTGACTGCAGAGTCACAGCCCTTATCAGTTCAGTCATTTCGGCAACCCATGCAGGCTTCTCCTCCTCTCTGCAGCTCCTCACAGCCGGTAGTAACGGCCCTCCGCTGCTCCTAGCAGCTACACTCCACACATTCTCTCTCTCCACAGCCATCTCCAAAGCCGCCTGCAAGGACTGTGGATGCTGCAGCTGTACCTCGACCCTCAAGTCCGCAGGGAGGAGGGCCCTGATGAATTGATCCCGTGCCAGCTCACTCTGCACTCCGGGTGGCATGTGTGCATACGCCCGCCGCGTCAGGCTTTCCACGTCGTTAGCCAACGCCCGCAGCGTCTCCCCAGACTTCCTACAGCGGTTATTTATTTCATTCCGGAGCAGCTCTGGCGGGAAACACTGTCCAAACCGCCTCTTCAAAGCCCCCGCTAACGCTTCATAGCTGTGTCGGTCCTCAGGGCTAAGTAGTAGCAGGCATGAAAGAGCCTCGTCTGTGAGGCACAGAGCTAACTGTAGCGCTTTAGTCTCTATTGACCACTCCCCGGCATGTGCTAGCAGTTCAAATTGGGCATGGAAAGCCTCCCAGTCTGACCTACCCGAGTATTTGGGTGTTTTCACGGACGCGGCGGCTGCTACTGTTTGCTGGGCGCCGCCATTGTTGTTTACATCCAGAATGTCAATGGCGCGAAACGCCGCTGAGGAAGGAGTCATCCCCGCGTCTCTAGCCATCCTCACCGCCGACTCTCTCAGGCGCTCTCTCGCCTCCCGTGCACTCTTGAACTCCCTACTCATGTCCTTCGACCACCCGCATGCTCCATCCTCCTCTCCGTCACTATTTTCTTGCTTCACTCCCATCCTGCCGAACTCATCCATCTCCGCTAGCTCACCGGCTAACTCCGTGACGCAGTTACGAGCTCCCGTCAGGATAGACGTCCTTCGTTCGAAAAAGTCACTTCTGACACCAATGTAACGTTCGACAAAGGGAGTCGGAAATAGGCTTCAAGTTCTTGGTGTTTAATAGCTCCTTTGTTCGCACACGGTCACAGGTTACATGTTACAGGTTGCAGGTTCATCAACACTCTGAGCTCTACTCCCTCACTCCCAGACACAAAACAGGGTCAACGTCACGACACCCCAGCCCTCCCCCCTCTGCTCCCCCAACCACAGGCCCGCACACCGACCAGCATTACTGTGCAGCTCCGTGATTGGCCGAGAGACGGGGGACGCTTGAGTGACACACCCAGCACCCTATGCAGGGTCGCTACAATATCTTAGGCCCTCACAGAGGGCCTAGAGGGCCCTGACGGCTCGCCACTGATATAGCATATATATATATATATATATATATATATATATATATATATATATATACACACACACAAACAAATTTTGCAGACCCTATCCCTCCGTAGTCTTTCAAGTAGGAGGAGAAATGCCAGCATTCTCCTCCGGTTTACAGGCACTGTGTAAATGATATATATAGAATAATTATGATGATGAATGCATTTTTTTACCACTAAAATACAGCAACACATCTTTGATTCATGTCGGTTATAACTGGAATATTACAGTTATTATTAACTTTGTCTGTACAAAGTAGCCTGTCCAGGAAATATGCCCAAATCAACAAAAACTGCGAGCAGGCAGGCAAGATGCTCCGCTTCTGAAATGCTTCTGAAACGCGCCTGGTAGGGTATGATGCCGGAGGAGGCCGGACCAAAACCGCGGGGAGCAGCCGTAACGCAACGCAGACGGACCCGGTGGAATCTAGGGGTTAGACGGGGCAGTGATATCATAAACCTGTTAATGTACGCATTCAAACACTTTTTCTTTTACCAGCTGTATTCACCTTGCAGGTGCAGCTACTGTATGTGGCTTTTATCTTGGATAAAGTGTTTAAGTCATGGATGTTTAAAGTTTAACGTCTTCATATTTGTCTAATATTATAGTTCACTTTTCATTCAGGAAGTAGGCTTATGACGCTGCGCTGTTAGTACGCTTCTCCATGTTAATTGTGATTGGTCAATGTTGCTAACCCCGCTCCTTTCATGTGAACGCGCACTCAGCCGGACAGAGAAACCCTGGCTTGAGTTGAGTTGATAACCAGCGTCGTAGGACCGTTTAGCGAGAGCGCGTTTGTTTTGGATTAGGTCAACCGGGTAACTCAAACATATCCTTAATGTTGAACTGGATTCATAGTACAGAGGCCTGTACTACGAAGCTGGTTCAACCTAACCTGGATATGTTTGAGTTAGCCGGTTGGCCCAATCCAAAACATACGCGCTCTCGCTAAACTGTACTACGACGCAAGTGGATCGCTCAAGCCAGCCGTGTCCTATCTAGTTAGGTGCGCGTTCACATGAAAGGGGTGGTATTTGGAGCATTCGACCAATCTCAAACATGGACAAGCGTACTGGCAGCGCAGCGTCATACTTCCTGAATGAAAAGTGAACTTTAATATTAGTCAAATATGAAGAAGTTAAACTTTAAACATCCATGACTTAAACACTTTATCCAGGATAAAAGCCACATAGCTGCACCTGCAAGGTGAATACAGCTGGTAAAAGAAAAAGTGTTTGAATGCGTACATTAACAGGTTTATGATATCACGGCCCCGTCCAAGACACGAGTGGATCTGACTTTAATTACATTTGACTCGAGTGTTTCGTCAACTTAATGTGTTGCTTAAAATAATACATCTGCATACAGTATGTGACACTGTGAGTGTTGCACGGCCAGATACGGCTCAAGAAGCTGACTCAGATAAGGAAATATATGATACATTATGATGTGATATGATATGAATGATAATGGGACACATCGACGTCTGCACTCACAGTGCCGCGGACTGTATTTAATGTGACTCTGATCCGGTTACTTATGTTGTGGCAGATATTTAAGTAAGCTTTCTTAACGCTAATGTTTATAATAGTCAGATTGCTCTGAAGATGGGAGGGGATATTCTATTTATTTTCACGTTCACACAGTCAGTTGATTTTTGCCGGCCGTCTTTCCTGCAACGGCAGTTTTTCTGTATTTCCTCTATCCTGTAATATGACTTGATCGCTTTAAACTCCGCACACGGAGCTCTGATTGGTCAGCAGGCGGTGCTTTCACTGAGTTGATCTCTTAGCCTGCAACCTAACCTCCTCCCGAGGAGGTTAGCCACTCAGCATAAGTTACCATGGAGATCTAGCCCGCTAAAAAGAGAACCAGCGTCGTAGGACCGGAAAGCCAGAGTTTTCAGCCGGCTAAGCGAAAATCCGCCTTCGTAGTACAGGCCTCTGGCCTCCGATCTCCATTCAGAAAACACGCATTTTAAAAGGTTTTTCGCCTGCCGTCTTGTCTACGCACTGATACAGCCGGTATCAGTATGTTGTTACTTCGGCATCATTTTGAAACGTGTATTACAATTACATCACGGTAAAATATGTTAATGTTGTTGTAGTTGGTTTCTACCACAGTATTTACATGGATATAAGTCCCGCCCCCTCTCCAGCGCGTCCTGTTTGAATGACAGGAGTAAACACAGCTGACAGCCGCGGTGAAACTCCAGCGATTAGAGCAATGCGAATATTCGCAACGTGTCCGGTGTGAACGCAGCATAATGCAGTTCAGAAACCAGACCACTGTTCTGACGCTTTTAAAGCAACTTCGAGATTTTAACAGTTTGAGGGGCACAAAGGCCATGGTGGCCGTAGGACGTACAATAATTTGTGGGGCATAACGGCCAGACCGAGGGGCAACGACGGCCATGGCCGTCATGGCCGCCGTGAAATTCCTACCCTGGTTGTGACTTGACCACAGTCAGTATGTGCATCTTAGAATGGCACCGGGCAGAAACACAAAAACTAACTAGCAACAGACACAATTGCCAATTCGTTGGAGAGAGAAATCCTAATGTAATTTATTGTTTTCCCGGATTGAAAGATGTCTAGCTGTTTTGCGTACGCTTTCTTGATGGAGCGTTTCAACACATGGCCACATAGATTTATATCCCTTATTGCTCTGAGGCAGCGGTGGTCTTGGACTCTTTCAACAGGGACCAATCAAACAGATTCTTGAGGACATATTTTGATAGTTTGAATTTGATATAATTGATTCAAAACATTGTTTTGATGGAAAATTGGAGTAAACAATTATCAGTTTTTACAGAAGTTTTATTCCTTGGTTTAATGAGCAGGGCTGGCTCTCATTTTGAGGTCCCACACACTTAACATAAAATATTTGACTTATTCTGCGGGAAAGAGAGATTTCTTCGGTGGAAAATAAGCCAGCTAAAGCTCTTGGCAGGAGGAATCGTGGAAGTGGCAAGACAACTCTTGTCGATATGTGTTTTTCACTGTAAGAACGATACAGATTTAAGTTTTTAGCAAAGCAATAAAATATAGGGTTTTTTTCTCATTGTGAACAGAAAACACACGTGAAAAAATTGGGAAAACAAGACATTAGTATTACTATTAATACTTTAACAACAATCATTTGAAGTGGTGGACACTAGGACCCAGGCACAATCAGGCCAATCAAGGTGAGAGGACTGAACCAGGTGTGTGAGCTCCATTCATGCTCCTGAGATCACTGTGCACATGCTCCCAATGGTAAACCAAATGAACTGTTTGTGTTTTTTCGATTGTTAGGGTAATGCAAATGCACCTGAAGTTTTACATTTGTATGTAAGTGTTTATAAAGAAGCAGGTTGATATCTTTGGGATTTAATCAAAACAAACTAAAGATTGATTGTTCATAATGAAGTTGTATGTCATTTAGTGGGCTCATTGATATGTTTTTAAAGAGGCCATATTATGTTTTTAGAGTTGTCCCTGTAGTATGTTTTTCTGCAGTAGGCTATGAGAAAAATAAAGCACTTTTTGAACATTAAAGGTAGGGTAGGTAAGTTTGAGAAACCGG